CTGAAACTTCTGAAAAATGAAGTAATTTGAACGAGAACTGCATTGCCATGTCTTGCACCACCTCACATGCTGAACAATAAACCCCTGAAAAATTACATTTTCATGTTCCAAGCCCTTGAGAATTAGTTGGTAACCATTTATCCCCCTTTCACCAACTAGAGAAAACCTCAGAATAATTTTAAGCTCCCTATGAATTACCTTCCCTACTGTAGAGAAAAATTCTTCCAGGTCTCTTGGTCGAATTCTGGCAGCCAGCTGCATGCAGAACACTGTTCGAGCATCCCTCTCCTCAGGGGTAAGATTATCTATAGGTTCTCTGGAAAAGTTAAAAAATAATCTGAATTAGGATAACTCAGCCCTGGATCATGCAAGAAACTTTTATTTAAAGTCTCACGGGGGAAAAAAAACACCTGCCACATTAAAAAAGGCGGGGTCAAGAACTGAAGGGAACACCTAATATTTTTATTTAACATTATTAAAAATCCTGTTGCAAAAGTAAGCATTAAATATGACTGGAAAACTGTATTTTAAGTATAGAAGCCCCAATTAAACAGGGGTGTAATTCTGCTACTGTCCAGAACAGATAGCTAACACTAGGGAACTTGCACTCAAAAAGATGAAAGGACAGGAAAACAGGTATAATTAGCACAGAGTAGCTGTGCAGACCCTTAGACAAGTGGCATTTTTTTGTGTGGCTTTGCAAACTAATCTTGCATTTACCCAGTCACTTTAGAGTCACTATAGCCACTGCATAAACCATACTGACATCTACACAGAATTCCCAGCTCTCATTTTGTAGTTTCAGCTTGTTAGCCAATAAAAGAGCATGAATAGTAAATAACTGCTCTCATCCTTGACACCAGAAGGACCAGATAAATGTTATTTCAGTCACTAGCTGAAATTAGATGCGTCACTTTTACGGCGTTAAAGCCTCATATCTAAAAAGGCCTGACTTGTACTTAAGTACAGGACGTAATTAGCATGGTGGAGCCTGGACTGAGTTTCCAACATAATATGCAGTTATATCTTTATAAATTAAAAAAAGTAAATCACTGATAATACAGATAAAAAAACTGAAGTCAATTATTTCTATAAGAGTCTGCTAATTATTAAAAAGACAGAGCAAGATTGGCTAAATTTAGCTGTATTAACTTAAGAGAATAATCTCATAAGCATATATCTAAATCCAATTTCCTAAATGAGAAGCCCAAGAATGGACAAGCACTTCCTGGATTGCAAAGGTACCTGGCTACTCTACAAATAACAGCAACATATACTGAAATAGGAAAAAGAAGCACTTGTACAGTACTTTCTCATTCCATAATTAAGATTATCAAGATTTAGCAGAAAAGCTAGCTCATTTAAATCACACTTAACAGGAAAAGATTAAAAATAGAGAAACACAGAAAGCAAAGCAAGACAGGTTTTGCAAACTGACATTATTCATATTTCTATTGCAGGGGGGAGAGAGCTTATGACATAGGGAGCAAGAAACTTATTTTCCAAGCTCTCCTTTCATGGGCTTTCAGACTGAATTCCAGCATTACTTGGGAGTATAACCTGAGGAACATTGCTACACCATTACTTTTCCAACTTCAATTGAACAACCAATCCCCAAATGCATGTAAAAAGTTCCTACCTAACAGGGCTCTTGTCTTTTCTGAAGGGACTTTTGCTTCTGGAGCGTCGTCTGCTATGAATAGAGATCAAGAAGATCATAAGAAAACCTTCAAACATACCAGTCGACACAACTGATTAATGATGCAATAAAAAGCAGAAAAAAGGCAGAAACCTTAATTTGATGCTGTGAGGCAGACCAATCTTCCCTCTGATGGCACTGTTGAATTTTGGACCAGAACTACAGCAAAAGAAAAGAGATGTTACTCACCGGAGCACCTGAACCCCAACTTCTGTCTGTACTCACCCACACCTGCCCCCCAGCCTGTCCACGTTTCCCATGCGCGGCACCCACCGCTTGCATGAGCTCGTGCAGGACACCAAACTACGCAGCACAGAATGTGCTTCCTTCTCTGCCTCAGCTGCATCACAGAATCCCAGAGTATGCAGGGCTCCAAGGAAGAACAGAATAATGACCCAGCGAGACATGGCACATTGCTAAGTACAAAATATTCTGAGCCACAGTCACTGCTGTCACCTTCTTCACATTTTTTTTTTGTCCCCATGCATATTCTACCTACTTCTGACTGCAAAGTAGTACCCTAACAACCTGGAAAATCAGCCTCAGTTTTGAGGGAAGTGGTGTTGGCAAGAGTATTTGTTCAACTGTAGCATTTTAAAACCAAAAGTTTCTGAGATTTAAAGTTCCAGTGTAAAGCAAGTAGCTCCCTGCAGACATCTGCAAGGGACACCTTCAGTAATCTTATCTGAGGTCTAGCCACTCAAGTGCTACAAATATTTATATGTAGCTTCTCTTAAGTAAAGCTCTTCCTGGACATTAAACCACAGAACCATTTAAGCCAGCAGTTACCCTTACATAGACGTGTCACCACAGAAGGAATTCAGTCTCTTGAATCTAATTTTAGTTGTCCAGGCTTCACAGACGCTTGTGAGAACAAATGGCAATCTGCCCATTGCTTCCCCGTTCAGGACAGCCCTAGCTATTGTGGCACAGGGTAGCAGAGTGACACCAACAGCAAGATTCCTCCTATCATGTTCTCCCTGAATGTCATCTCCTTGTAGATACAAAGCAAAGAACACCACCTGTTAATGCTCTTCCTGCATATCCACTGAGCAGAGGCTCACACTGAGTGGTAGGGGCTTGTCTTTCCATTTGCACCTGAGGCTCTGCTATGCCTATAAATTGATGTGAAAACACCCTGAAAGACACAGCAGTCTGAAGACATTAAGGAGTCTTTCACTAAATCCGTTTAGCCAACCAAGTGTCTAATAAACGTCGTCTTGCTACTCAGTGGAGCAGCAATGCTTAAGAGTTAAACTAAGCAG